TCACATAAAGTGGCATTTACAGGTTCCAAGAACTAGCATTTTCTATTTCTGAGGGCTGTTATTCAGTACACTACAGTGCCTTCTTCATACTATTTACTTTCTTAAGCTGTTCAGTAATTATTTTTGGCTGCCTGTTCATCTACCTTTAAATACCTTACATACTAATTTCTTAGATACTCCCCTGGTTATTTGAAATACGGTGGGGCAGTACAGGTATTTGGTCTCCTGGGCAATGGAAGGGATTTTCTTCTGGATATCAGGAAAAAGTTGGAGCTCTGTCAGACTTTCTTTGCTTCCAGCGTTTTCACTTGTTTCCAACTTGAGTAAACACCTCTGTTGCTGTAAGTTGCTACAACATGGATAAGACTCTAAAGATTAAACCACCTCACTCTATCATATGATACACCAAGGAATTACTTCAATATCCCTTTTTATTTTTTATTTTATTTATTTATGGTTTTTTTGGTAGCTCAGTCTGCCTGAAGGGCAGGTGTGGTAAGGCAGGTGGAGCTGGGGATCAAACCGTGGTATCTTGCGCCTGACTGTGCTTGCATGAGCAGGCACTAAAACAACTGAGCTAACCTGCAGGCCCCCAATATCCCTTCTTTTTAATGTATCTGCTGACTCTAAGATTGGAGGACACTATGTTGCACCTACCTTTTTCAATATTCTTGTGTGTTCAGGTTGGTTCTTTCTTTAAATCTATTTCCCATTTCTTTCATTCAGGATTTCACACAATTTTTGTGCCACTGAGGGAACTATTTTTGGTTTCATGTTGATAGTTATCTTTTGTTGTTGTCGGTTTTAAAAATCCTTCCTCCAAAAATTTGAGGAATACTTGGGACATAGGAGTATATTCTACAGGTTCCTGTAGTTTAAATTTCAAGCCACCTTTCAACTACCTCTAATATTCCTGCTGTCTTGAACCACTACACTCATTCATATACCTCTAATGGTTCAGAGCTGCCTGGCCATGAGACATACAAACTATGGCCCTGTCATGAATTTGTTAATGCCTTTCCCTTATGTGACTGCTATCTTTTATTCTTTTATTCTTATTTTATCATCCAGAGCTCTGACAACTTAAATTCCTTGTCTCCTGAAAACTTTTAATTATATATTATCATATAACAAGCCATTTTATTTTATTAAATGAGGCAAAATGAACAGATACAAAGGAAATTCATATTACTGGGTTGGGAAAAATCACATGATTGAGAAAACACTCTTACTTGTAATCAGTCAGGCATATTCTAAAGACCAGCTCCTAAGATGAAAATTATAGCAGTACCCCCCATGAATGCTTTTGTTTGTGAACAATTTGGTTTGCAAACAGAAGCATCTGGTAAAATTTTGTTTTTATCTGCAAACTCTGCATCAGGCAATGAACACAACCACTGTCATCTTTCAAACATGAACACAAACATGGCCATCTTTTTCAAGATCATAGAACAAATTAAGTTCATAAACCAAGATATCACTTTTATTCTAAGTTTTTCAAGACTGGTCAAGTAGATTAGATAGGGAAAAAGGCAGGGGGGAAAAACATGCAAGTATATATACAGGATGGCTGCGATGATTGTACTAAAAATTTCCATCACTACTTTGAAAATAGCAGTAGGGGCTGGGGAGATGGCTCAATAGAATAAGCACATGTCTGGCAAGCACAAGGGCCTGAGTTCAATCCCCAGCTCTGCCAAAAAAAAAAATAAATAAATAAAATAGCAGTTAATGTGTAGAATTTTCCCCATGACTAACTCTGTATGCTGATATCTGAATTTTAAGCAACTATATCAAGGACAGCAATGTTTAATATAAAAATCATGCTTGAATACCTGTCATCTTGGTTTTCTGTGTACAATTTCTAATATCATATCAATTATTACTATACTCTCTTTAAAATATTTTTTAAATAAAAAAAATTAAGGGTTTCTTGAAAACAAATAGTAATGTGCAATCATATGTCCAATCTTACATGATTATATCCATTAATCTGAGCAACAGATTTGATGATAAAAATAGACAATAGGGCCAGGAAGATAGCTCAGTAGAATAAGCACTTGCATAGCAAGCACAAGGTCCTGAGTTCAACCACTAGCACTGCAAAATAAATAAATAAAGAAAAGAAAAGAAAAAAATAGATAATATATCAACCATTTTAATCAGCTAATCTTGTTTTGAAAATCTGTAACATATGGGGAGTTGCAGTAGGCCATTTTACCCCACTGAAAGGTTTTTTGGGGGATGGAAATATAGCACAGTGGCACAAGCACCTGCCTACCAAAATGAAGTTTAATCCTTTTGTGACTTTGGATGGAAGCAAAAACCGTAAAAGGCGTTTTAATGTGCCTTCCCACATTTGCAAGAAAATAGTCTTCTCCTCTTTCCAAAGAGCTGAGACAGAAATACAATGTTTGCTCTCTGCCCATCCAAAAGGATGATGAAGTTCAGGTTGTGTGAGGACACTATAAAGGTCAGCACATCGGCAAAGTAGTCCAGGTTTACAGAAGAAGTATGTCATCTACATTGAATGTGTGCAGCAGGAAAAGCAAATGGCACAACTGTCCACGTGGGCATTCACCCCAGTGAGGTGGTTGGTTATCACCAGGCTAAAACTAGACAAAGACCACAAAAAGGTCCTGGAACGGAAAGCCAAGTCTCACCAAGTAGGAAAGGAAAAGGGCAAACAGAAGGAAGAAATGATTGAGAAGATGCAGGAATAAAACCCACCTCTG